GAAGTCATCTCAGCTAAGACAATTTCATTCTTCTAACAGGGTAGGTTGGCTTTTGGAATGGTTGTCTTCAGATGTTGTAAGGCAGTCATTTTAAGGGACTTTAACCCTCCTGTTCCAGGTATTTTTTTACTGCGCATGACACAAGGTTTTAGTGTCTTACATTCAAGATGTTATTAAACTATTTTTTGTTTATGTTATACCAATTAGTATAGCATAAAATTTTAGTTAATAATCCATATTTTAATAGTATATAAGTTTTAAGTTCATAATTTTATAAGCCATTATTTAAAAATAATTCTGAATTTTCCCTAGTGTGACACATTTTCTCTAGGTATTTTCTCATCTCTATTTTATCCCCCTTCCCCAGGAAACTACAAAATTAAATGTAAATTACTCACTATAAAATCGACATTGCTCATATAAACCATAATTTTCTATAGCTCTCAATATTGGTTGGTTACATAGCTGTCATGTAGAAAATCAGACACTTCCGACTACACCTACCTGTTACATCCTCTCTTACAGGATTTGTTAATAGTTCTCTCTTACATTTGATTATATATTACCTATAAGGAAGAGAAAGTCCAGGTTTTCATCTGTCAAAGAAAGTATTGTATAATGTTGTGTTCTGAACACAGAATAGTCAATTTCACTTGTACTTCAACTTTGGTTCCCACGGGAATCACAACGGCTAGCTTGGATGCATTTCTAATGGTTCTTGTCGCATTGTTAGAAAGCCAGAAAAATTGTGATTGTTAGAGGAAATTGTCTACTTTTTGCATGTTATTAGTCTATTTTCTTTGGTGCATTATTCAATTACATAAAAATTATTTAATGTACTATTACCATTAGTTTAAAAAAAAGTATGGTTAAGTGTCATCGATAGTAAACAGTGATAGTTATTTCTTGTTTTTCATGTTTATACTTTATTTATTTTTATAAAAGTAACTAAAATGTAAAAAGAGATATTCACTTAGGTTAGTTAAGGTTAGATTAGGTAAAATAAACAATAATTATATAAGAAAAATGTTTCACAAGGCACGTGTGCCAGCAGCTCAAAACAGCTCATGGGTAATGTAATTTCATAGTGTAACATGAGCTGCATGTTCCCTAAGTGACTTACAACTTATAATGGCACAAATAGTAGTTAGAAACAGTTCAAAGAGCAATAAAACAATAAAAGTTAATTATAAGTTGATGTATACTATATGTGTTTAAAGCTAGTTAGGATAAACGAATGTAGTTTCATGCTACATTTGAAGCCATTGAAGAAAGAAAAGGAGGGTAATTTAGATTTGGGGGGAGAGGTTACAAGATCAGTCAAATTGAACAACCTTGTACAGAGTTAGGGTAGAGAAAATAAGAGATAAAATATAAAGTTTTACTGAGAACAAATATTTGAAATGTATTTAGAAGGTTTTAGAGATTACACAAATGAAATCTGGGATTTTTGAGATAAAGAAAAGTATTTTTAATCTTAACATGAAAGTCACTTTGTACATGGATTATTCAAAACAAATAATCAATATATTTATGGACGAATCTTTATTTTAGTTTATTAAAAATACTTCACTAAAAATGTGATTTTTTGTTTGTGAAAGACTTATAATGTTAACTGAAAGACTGCCAAATTTTGTGAAGATATACACAATATATTCAAAGTTATAGGTATTAAATCTATAAAGACTTTAAACGAGTACAAAAAGGTCATGTGGTTGGTCAAATTGACTGAGCCCATGTGGAGAGAGTTAAGAGAAAACTTGACAAGTATATGAATGACAGAAGTTGATGTTGAAGGTTTTTCTTTTTCATTTTAGTTTAGTTTTGTGGATGAGACAGCCTACATGGACAAACAGGTCCCATGTTGTCCCTAAATATTATGTTTGGTTATGCTATTTTAATGAAGTTTTGTTAGACTATGATGAAGTTTCCCATTTTTATACTTCAGTTGTTTTTGTTAAAAAATATGGAACAATAAGTAAAATATATACATACATACAAGGATTCGTAACACATACTGCATACTTAAGCTCACTTACACTCAAGTAAAAAATTTTAGATCTTTATATGTAAACTTCATTGAGTCTCACAAGTGTTATTGTCCATAATAGAATAAGGTAGCTTTCAGATATGTTTTGTGAGAATACAAAAATATATCAATCATCAGAACAGAATGCCCCAAAACTACTGTAATTTACTTGAATTTCTAAGTAAGCTCTAAATGGTTTAAAAAATTGTCTTAGAAGTTTGGAATAGTACCACAATGCTAATCAGATGAGAGGCATCTAAGGAGTGAAAAATGATGTAAATTTAAGATAACAAGAGGTGGATTCAAGTAGAATAGGATCTGCTCTAGCTATTGCTTGGTTATAAACATGTCCATCAACCATTTAAAGCTGATTATCGAACAATCTTGAAAATCAGAGAGAAAGAGGGGAGAGGCTTCTACGGTGGGTTTTACAAATTTATTGATATCTTTGCAAACCAAAAATGCTGGAAGTTCAACTTTTTGATTCTTCCTTTTAATTATGTATAGCTTTGGTTTTTCATCATTTGGAAACTGCAGCAGCCTATTTTTGATATCAGAAAATTTTGAGTTGAGATGCATCATATAACACGGACAAAATGAAGATTGGGAATTTTTTAGATATTTCTTTTTGTGAAATTAAGAAGTAAAACTAAATATTGTGTACTTGAACTCCAAACTACATATTAATGTGCATTTTATGGACATAGATTGATAATAAAGTTTTTTAATAAAAGTTTGAATGTAAAAGGTCATGATATGCAAAAACAACATCTTATTTATGGTTCAACAGTATAGATGTTTGCTTTTTATCTTAGGTGATAAAGGAGATCAAGGACCACCAGGCCCAATTGGAAACCCTGGACGTGAAGGACAACCTGGTGTCCATGGACCACCTGGATTTCCTGGTGTGAAAGGTGATAAGGTGGGACATATTGTGCAAAAGTTTAACTACATCTTTAAGGACTCAAACACAAACAGACTTGTTGGAAAAATAACATCCAATAATTCACAGTCACATTTAAAATGACTAAGTTAGGCTGCAAAAAAGAGGAACTAAATAAAGAAAACAATGTAAAATGTACTTTTCTGTAATCAGATGGACTGGTTCAACAAATGCTGATTACTGAGCATGACCTCAGTGTTAACATTGACTGAAGTGTTCTTTATCTAGGGATGACTTAATTACAAAACTTGGTTCAGTTTTTCATACAAGTTGCATTAAATGTGTTTATGAAGCCCATCTTCATTTAAAGTGATATATTCACCTGCCTAGGGAATATGTACAATATTTTTAAATATCTTATTCATTTATGAAGATATTTCAATAAAATAGGCATGATGTGATAGAAATAAAAGGCAAAGTAATTATTGAACTCCAATAAAAAATAAGTGGTGAAACTTAAATTCTATTTAAAAAAGAAAAAAACTATTGACCCAAATCTTAACAATATTATGTTAATTAGCTTGAGCTACTCCAAAATTCGAATTAGTTTTGGGTAGTGTGATAATGTCGGATTGCCCATTTGTATTGACATATCCTTATAAATGAATGAGATATTCTACAGATATTACAAGTACAATCTGGACAAGTTTATGTACCATGTTAATGCCAGTTTTTTAACTTATATGTTAATTAGTGGCATTTGCAACATGTTTTGTCTTTTTTTTATCAGAAATATTCTTATAGTTTTAATTTACTAATTCACATAAATATAACAAAACGTGTTGTGATTAACTTGTAAGACTTCTTATTGATTTTTAGAGGTATAGAATCGTACTCCTTTCTGCGTTTGTTGGTTAGTTCAATTTTCAGTTATATAAGCAAAATTTAGTTATATTTTCGTACTATTCATTTCCAGTCTTACAGTAAAGTATGTATATCAGTTATTTGTATTTAGGTTTAATCCGTTTTAAAGTATAGAGGCTACCTTCTTTAAATTTTATGTGTTGCAAATTTTTATCTCAGATTTTTGAGGTTCTTAGTACCTGTAAAAATATTGTTAAGTTGTTGTGCACAGTAGTGATTAGAAATAATCCATAGTCATTTATGTGTATCAGCTTCCTTGCACTTAAGTATAAACCAATCTCAATAAATATCAGAATAACATTTGTTGTAGGTTTAAACTGTGCTTTTCTGCAACCATGTTTATTACTCATTGTTATGATAATA